TAACCCACTTTATCATTGACAACAGACTCCCGCCCCAGTCGGTTGGGAGCGGGGATGCGGGATCACTAAAGGGCCACGCATGGGATCTATGGTGTTCCGACAAACAAGGCTATTTTGGGCGGCCTCGGCGGCCCAGCCAGACCACGCATTGGATAAATAGGTTTAAAGTTCCCAACTGCCGTATACTAGTGGCGATAAGCAGGTACAAGGTGAGATGAGAGAACGGCAGTTGCCATCTAGGGAGGCGTGAAGAAAATATTACCTGGATCGCTTTTCGGATGGGGAGTGAGCCAAGAAAAGACGAGGGATTACACCTTGTTGGATAGAGGATCAGAGGATCAAAGTATCCTACGGCACCTTAGAACCTACCCCTCACGACGCCCAATATTGACCGACCTCTCTGATCTTTGGTGCCACAGAGTGCGCGGGTGGTGTTTTCCAGATGTTCTACGGGCAGGGTAGGCTGGAGTGGCTTACCTCTTAGCCGTAATTCTGTGAGGTTCATTTGCCGGTTTATAGAAATAAAGTTTATTGATCAACACTGACTGATATTTCGACTTGCCACGACCACACCTGCAAAAGAAAAATTTAAAATTCTTCTGTAGAGATCATATTTACCGAACGACCCCCTCTTTACTCTTCCGGTTGGTGCTGTTAAAGACCTTCAAATTTTGTATGGGAAGGAGAACCGTGAGACCTGCCTGCATGGGGGGAAGGTTTTTGCTTAATGATTCGCCTTGGGACTCAGGATTGTTTCTAGGGCGCCAGCACCATACCTGATTTTGTTATTATATATAGTTGCGAGACATTGGCTTACGATAATCGGTGCTTCCAGGTCCCGTGGACAAGAGAACCAAGCAGACGCCACGATCATATTTCTTAATAAACCATTAAACTCGGATGCCCGGTAGATGGTTTTAATCTAGATCACCCTGAACACGTTGTGAATCTCTCAGTTACACAAACCCCCCAGTGTGAGGGAGGTGGGGGGGCTGTTTCAGTCAATACACAATACACGGTGCAACTGCTCGGCAGCGGTGGCGATATCCCCCACCTGCCCGTAGAACACAACAGAGCAGTAGGAGGTTTAACCGCAACCATGTGCTCCCTCGTTTGCACCCAAAGTCCAAGTCCACTGGAGGCGAAGCACACCCGCCAAAATTGAGGCGTGGAAAAATAGGGTATTCTGATAGGGCCCATAATGATAGTGGAAGAGATTGATGCAATGCTCAAATGGGCCTTGGGGGTGCTTTCTGCTAGGTGGATATACGGAATAGCCTCCGGCGAACTTCTGGTATTCGGCGAGGACTAAACTATGAAATCTAGCTCTCGATATGCATGCTGTCAAAGTGTGCCGGTATAACGGAGGGTGGGAGATAAACCCGTCAGGCTGTTCACAGTCTCCACCTTCTCTATACGCTTTTTGAGGTTATTCAGGTGACCCCTTGGGCATGGCTGCCGCACAGCGAGGGACTAAAATACGAAATTTCTTGAAGACTTAGATGGGAAGAGAGGAGGGCGGCCCCTTTCGCTGTCAACAACAAAGAGCGGAATATTTGGGACATCGAGAGTACCGTACTCGCGGTAGACCACTGACACTTGTGGTCGAGGTGGCTTCCCATCAGGTCCCTCAATGGTCAAAGCCATTTGAGGGGCTGAGTGCTTGTGGACTTTTCCTGTTCGACAAAAAGGTCTAATGCATGAACCCGGCGGTGAGAGCTATCCCGAGAGTACAGTACAGAGAACGTATTTTTCCAGGGAAGTCACTCTCTAGAACCAGGGGGCGCAGGATCTGCATCAGCGCGTTTATACCGCACTAGATGCCTTGCGGCTACCACAAGTACTACGACCAATAAGGACATTGTGAAGCGTCTCCATAAGCCAGGGGTTAAGAAGTGCCGATACAAGCACCTACGAAAACAGGTACTCGAGCACAGTCTGTTTGAGCTCTTGTGCAACATTACTGTAAGGGGAGTAAGGGTGACAGGTGCCTGTACTATCACTCTTTGGTGGTGCGCTGCGGCGTTAACCTCCGGAATCCAGACAATTGATCTAAAAAGCTTAGTTCAGAAATACAAGGGCCACTCCTCTAATAATTCCTCTCTGATTTTCTTCCCGCCCCCCACCCCCCCACGTCAGCTCACGGCTGATCGTCTTCTTATGCGCCTGAAGACCCCACAGGTTTAACCAAGTTTTGGCTAGCAATTATCTAGGCACCTAACAGCAGTTAACAAGGCTCCATTATTCCCAGGCCCCACTTGAGTGGTGATCGTCGATATTATACCCTTTTGTTTCTGTCTTCTTCTAGCCACGGTCTCAGCCTCGGATAACCCACTAATTTCCATGTTGTCCACAGATGTCAGACATCCACTGTCAGCCTATGACAACCACCACCGGTACAAGTAGATAGTCGGCGTTAAGAAAATTTTCCACACCAGTTAGTCGTTTCCGGTGGGACTAGCTTGATCAGTATATCTCGGGGGCGTCATCACAATGTGGGATATCGGTGTTGAGGGGTGTTTTTCTCTCTCCTTGTTACTGTTAACCTTTGTAACTGTCAGAAGTTCTGGACTTTTTAACGATCTTTCACGACATGATTCTGTTCCCTTTCTCCCCCATTTTGCTTCTTTCTTTTGTTCCCATTTACCCGGGTCACCTGAATGCATTTTTTACAGAAAACTGATATGTGTATGACGTTCACCAAGAAAACATGGGACCAAAATGGCAACCCAATTGCAACACTCCCAACCAATGCACTTAGTGACAAACCCCCCTTGAAAATAAGGGGGGAAAGGGAACAGGTTTACCCTCGTGACCCCGGGAGCTTATACAACATCACTGACAGCCCAGATTGATACTGGATCGGAGTATACGACATTTAAATTCTCTGAAGGTACTAATGCCGGCAGGTCGGTTTCAGCAGAGCCTGCCTACAGAATACCCGAACGAGGTCAGTCAATTACTTGATTAAAAAAATCTACCAGCGAATGTAGAATTCGGCACCCAGGCCCACTTCTATGCCCCATGAGAATGCATAATCGTACCGTCTTTAACCCCAGAACACATCTGTTTAGGATCTGCACATTCCTAGGGGAATAATGCCAACAAAATCGATCCACCATAGAAACCTCTGCAATTTTTACTAGCACTAGGGATTATACCGCTAGGCACTATTGCAATGTGGCTACACTCCCCGCCATAAACCCCGTGCACCCAGACAACTCACTGATCCTACTCTCATTTTTCGCTAACTCCTAAGTTAACTCCTTAGTGTTGTAGTAACACTAAATCCATTAGTTGTGTGCATCGCATCGGGGTGGTCAGTTTCGACCCTATTATTTTCCTTTTATGGAGGGGAATCGTATTAGTTTTTCATTTACCTCATAGCGTTCCCTCAAGGAGGTCAATACACTGTCCGGGTAGTTCCAGTAGAGGAATAGGAGATCTTCGGATCGTTGCCGGGGTTCCACCGCCGTCCCTCGTGCCATCACACATTGCGAGCTAGCGGAAGATGCGGGAAATCAACAAAAACGGAAAGAAAGAAAAAAGGGAAATAGACAGACCTCCAGGCCTAAATGAGCTAGAGACATGCTTCGGTGAGAAGGGATTATGTGTCGTGCAAAGAGGTGTTCTGTAATCTAATTTCGGAATTTTAAAGTTTCTTTCACCTATGTGGAACCGAATTGTAGAAATTGGATGGCAGTTTCAATGCAGGAGAGATTCCATCATCATACTTAACCATTAAGATTGTTTACAAAAAACCAAAACACGATCCAATAGCACAGGCTATAGTACGAGAAATGTACTTGTAGTTATCCATGCTGGTTGTGTGGATTATATCAGAGGTATGGGCTAAGGTTGGCAGACATGTTCCAGTTTCTAGCTACACCCCTAACCTATTGCCTACCTCACAATAGAATTGCAGGTTATTTACATCAATTTTGCGGTTTCTATAGCCCGCTTCGCAGTTATGAGGAGGACCTATTTACTGTACTATACCGAACCGCTTCTAGGTAAATTACTTCATAGTTGTCCTAGCGCAAAGGCCACGACCGCTGTTTTCAGTAGTATGTCTTTTTTGCTTTAGAACTTAACCCCCTCCCGAGCCCCAAGCCTTCTTCAGCGGTATCAAAAGTGAGAACTCATGGGATATTCTTTGTGCATGTAGCAACATACTACACATGCTATTGCATACTGTTTTTAGCGTTAGGGAGTAGTTGACGGAAAAATTCACCCAGTGGAGGGATTATAGTATTCAGTAATCTCTCTCCACTCCTCCCACAGTAGATTGACAGCTACCTAGCTATAGGCTACCATGAGCAATGGGTTCAAGTTCAACTCCCAGGGACGGGGAGTTCGAGCGGGGATATTTTCCATTGCCCCAGCCCAGTAACAGCTCGCATCCGCTGCTCGAAACAATCACCTAATTACCAGCTAACCAGCTCCTCAGTTAACATTTAACCAAATGTTGGGCCCTTCGCCAAATAAAGAAACTACCCTGAGTGCAACTGGGCTCGGCAGAATGGAGAGCAAACCACAATCTCAATTGGGAGACACGGATTCTGATATTCCATTCCTAGCCACCACCTAAAAAAACCTACCTCGAAACATCTCATCCCGAACCCCTAAAAGTACAACCCACATCAAGATCCAGGATTTTTTTCCGGACAACTGCCGAAACAAAGCCACAGTAGTACAGACACTCTTTCTGTGGGAACTTCCCCTCAATCATTAGCTTTGCGATTCTCTGCTCAAGTGTTGTCGTTTATTTGTATCTACAAAATTTGCAGAATATGTAGGCAGCTAGAAACAGAATTGGCCGCAGGAGAACAGGAAATGCTTTCCATCACCGATTGAGTATCCAAAAAAAAAAAAAAAGAATCTTATTACCATTTCCCCTTCAATTGGAGATGGTCGAGATATGTGCCAAAGACGTGCAACAAGAGAGCTCGAGGGCTATATAAACCCCCTTCCCCTCCGGTTGAAGGAATCATCAGAGGCCTCCTCAGCGAAGACACCAAAATCGAAAGCATCCACAGACTTCCCCAGAGACCTAATACCTCCAATTTACAGTTTATCCCCCAATCCTCTTTCGAAATGAAGCACTCCTTCATTACCTTTATCAGTCTCTTTCTCTTCCTCATATGTGGAGTTTGTAGGTTTTCCGGAGACTTCCACTACCCCTTCCAATGCTAAAGAGAGACAACAGTCGCAGCACCCGCTACTCTCGACTCCGCTGAGATTGCCAAGAGAGACACCAGACCATTGGACATCATTCTCGCCGACACACGCACTGCCATTCTCGCAAGAAACTCTATCTGCAGTGAGTTCTTTTTACTAAAGCACTTATCTATATTCCTTACAAGCTTAAACTGACGATATCCAGATGCTACCAACCCAGCAACCACTGCTGATGTGACGACGTACTGCGACGACATCATCACCATCATCGATAATACCATCATCGAGTGCGGGACCATTCCCCCTGGCACCCTGTTCACCAACATCAACCTCATTTCCCTTATCTTATGGGAAATCCTCTGCGATATCAACTGGACACTTAGGCTTATTCTCTCTAGATGTGGACTTTGTATGTCACATTATTTCACATCCTTCATGTCCTGAGCATGTATACTAACGGTAAACAGTGGGAGGGCTCCTCGCACTCATCCTTATTCTGATTGGGGGGCTCATTAGTGCCCTTAACCTGCTCATCGCTACCATTGCAGGACTCTGTATCCCCGGCCTTTTGGCGCTCCTCCTCGGTCTTTGCGGCCCCGGCTTCTGGCTCATCACGTGTGGCTTAATCATTTGAGCCTCCCTACTGCTGTGAACTCACAAATGTAAATGGATAATGGCGGAAGGTCAATATGGTGATTGAAGGATTGGTGGATTGGCATTGTCAGGGCATAGGTGGAGGATTTTAGGACTGTCTTTTCAGATTCACATTGCAATCTCGGGGAAGTCAATCATTTCGTATCTAAAATTAAAAAAAAGACCCCGATGATTTTACCTTACAAACGTTCCCATAAGTGAATGTGACGATCTATACACTAAGGTGAGTTAGGAACAGGAAGCTGCTTGTTCGCCCTGCTTCCCTTCGCTCTGAAGTTCCAACTGCTAGGTTCTTTATCATATATCATATAGCCTAAATATTTAAGATCATTCTACCAACACAACCGAAGCTAGTTTAACAGGAGCGATCTTTGAGGATCCGCCCCACCGCCGTCCTCTGATCAGATCGTACGTTCCTAGGACAGTAAATTACAATAAAAAGAAAAGAGTAAACAACGGAGGTCATTGTGGGGCAACCGTGAAGCCCAACATTGGAGTGAGAAAATCGTGAACTAGAGGATCAATTAGATGTTAGCCAAGAGAAAATCTAGAGATATACATATCCCTTCGCAGCAAAAGGCGTCGAAACTAAAATAAACTCCCATAACACTAAAGAACAAACAAGATCTTCATAATAAACACTTCAGGTACGACAGGCACTCAGCAGAACAACCAAGAAATCAAATAAATTTAGCATTGCGAAGCAGTTCATAAACATTCTAAAGTTTATACATCGCTTACGAAACATTGCACGATAGACAACAACCAAACAAAGGGCCGGAGGGCCGAAGAGCGGGGTGTTGAGGGGGGGGGAGTCCGGCGCCAGCTCCTCATGCTTAGAGCTACAGGATATGAAAACTCCCCATAACGGCATGCCTAACAGGTAGTCCAACATAGAAATGCAAAAACCGCGGTCTCCCGATATCCCTAAATCATCCACCACGGCCAAAACGCACCCGATCTAGCACCGGAAAACAAAAAACTCTTACCCCGATGTTGGGCATTGTTCGCTCCCCACACCCCTTGGCGGAACACCGCACGCAAGTTTGGCAGACCCAACCAAGGGAAGACAGAAAGAGTGAAGTACCGGTCACCTGAATTCTCGTTTCGCGAAAAGATCCCGCGCCCCCGGGGCAGCAAACGATAAAATAGGAACAGCACAAGGCTCCAATAGGCCCAACCAAGTAATGAGCTCAACTCTGCAGTGGATCTGGTGCTCGTAACCCTTCTACAGAAACCTCTGACCGGGGTGTTGTTGCCTTGTGGGGTTATTTGAGACAGCCCCCACCACATCCGGAAAAACTTTATCTATGCTGTTTGCCGAATGCCTAATAACGGGTGCTCGCGCTGCGATTGGATAGGAGCAACCTCCCTGCCGGGTGAACACCGACGCACCGCATTGCTCGCGGCGGGTGACGGGTAAGTGACACGGCCATGTCACTGACAGGGTTTCTGAATATATGATACCGTCATCGGCGGGGAGGGTGACGGGGTCAATGTGGAGTGACGGAGAATTAACAGGAGGGTAAGGGTTATCGCAAGAATTTTCTGGCATCATACTGGTACAGTACAGCACCGGGGCACATATTAGCACTGATAGAAACAGTGAACTTTAGCGCGACAGCGATCAATAATCTCTTGAATGACACCTGCCAGGATCGAAAGGAATCCTTTCAAAAAGAAAAGTGCAAGAACGCCCGTTTCTAATATCGGTATCGTACAGTTGGTATGGATTGTAATGTTTAGCTGACCAAACTTGGCGCCCCGCATGATACCCGTCCGGCAGAGCGTCATTTAAAATTCCATGTGACACCCGTCACCCACCCGCAATGATCCCTAAGTGACGCCCCACCGAGAGCAAGACTGCCGGCACACAAGCCCTATCCGCCGGGCACACAAACAGGGTTTTTAGCATACGGGTGATGCAATGCAAATGTAGATGACCATATTATGGACTAGATACCGCAAGGGCTTTCAGATCTAAAATGCCTGCGCCGGGGGGGGAAACTGGTAAGTGGGCTTTTCCTGCGCGATATCTAGGGGCTCAGCTGCAAGGTCCCTCCCAGGAAGCCGAGTTGTTCAGATGCCCGGTTCCATATACCAACCTGAGTAACCAGGCCATTGGACGCGCCGAATGGCCATCTGTGAGCCTCCAAACGTGGGTTGTTGATAGAAAGGGTGGTTTTCTTGTCTCTGCTCAGCGGGGGGCCCGAAATCTGCTCTGAGAATGCACACGGATACATACAGGTTCCCCTAATAATACTAAGCGCTGCTCTGGAAAGGCCTTGGTATGCTCCGCAACCCTCAAAAGGGGTGCGAAACCTTCGCTGCGCAGCTTTGTGGTCCCGCCAACTCAACAGTATGAAATTGTCTTGAAGCGCAAAATTACACCCGGCCAACTATCAAATATCGTCCAATCTTGGAATCGGGAGGATGTCAGCCTGGTTACGAAAATTGGTTTCGGTCATGGTGGGTCACTCTTGTATTCATCGCGGAAACAGAATCTTCCTGTATCACAGGTGCACGGTCAAAGGAGGCTGCGTTCATAGAACCCCGTCCGTAGTGATCCCCTCGTAATTGAGGGAATTCCTTGGACCTCGCACAGAACATACTCGAGTATCATACTGGCCATCTGTATCGTGCCGAGTGCGGAATCATGCAGAAGGGTACAGCACCGCATAGACCAATTTTACCAAAAACTTGTTTCTCTCGCCACGATCCGTTAACGCAATCAGCGGGGATTCGTAACGGAGCTTGGTATATAATATGTAACATGTAGTACATAGCTGCACATCGCATCCCCCCCATCGTTCGGCACATCTCTTCATCGGGACTCGTGAAACTCTTGCATACGTACCCAATGTCCTATTTCATTTGTGTAACGGCCAGTGACAAGACCCCCAGGGAGTGGGAAAATCTAAGGTATTGACAATGGAGGGTACTTGAAGGGCAGCACTTTTTTACACCTCGATGTCAATTATTTTACCATGAAATAAGCCATGTTCATCACCACAGGTTAGATTAACATTGGATGGGCTTTCTACTCCCATCGCAACGCCTCTTCCCAACAGTAGCATCTGAGGTTCTCTATTTCTAATGCACACTTCGTCTTCGCAAATCCAAAAATCAGGTTAATTAACTCTACAATAAAATTACAGGTCAAATCTCCCGACCATCCGGCAGATGGGCGGAGACATTTCCACTCTCAGGGTACTACCCCTTCCTAACTCCCATCTAAAATTATCTGTGGTTCATCGATACATCGCCATACTTTTGCCATCCTTGTGCCGTTCGGATACAGCGGGTGTCGGTATCCGACCAAGAGAGAAACTCAATGGTTCGAAAGGCCAACAAAGTATGATACTATTACTGCATTTTCTTGGAATATTGCTGCGCGATAGTAAAATAAAAACCGATAGCCACGCTATTATGTTTGGTTTGGACTTCAAAAGACCTCGATGAAAAGGCCGGTGATTGACCAAAACTAGGCTCAAAAATTATAGCCCTCAACGATCCCCCCCTAGAAGCCCACCCCCTATCGTGCCCAACACCTTTCGTTTCCCCTGATCCCCCGCTACTCAAGAATCTTGGCCAACTGCAATTTCTAGATCCGTTGGGCTAAGTATCAACGATCCTAGAGTTAGTAGTGGTGAAGATTGGCCAAGTGGTGTTAGTTAAATATAATGGAGGTTCGAAGATCAGGTACGCATATAAAGATGGTGGTTCGAGGAAGAAGGCATGATGCGATATGGAGGAAAGTGTTTTGCTGCCCAACAGGCACAGAGAATTAAGACTGAGCTAGAATAAATAGAGATCGTAGTAGCCAATAGTCCACCAATGCACATCACTAGAATCAGATCCCCTCAAAGCGTCAATCCTTCTAATTCCATAACCTAACACCAACATACCATGATAAGATTACTCCATCAAAATAACCTCGCCCAAGACTACGTGATGTAGCGAGGGCTATCTAGGGTGAGTAGCTAATCTAGGAGGTGACCAATACCTTAGTTGCTGTGGGCTCTCCCCTTGTTTTTTAAACAAGTCCTGCAGATGATGTTCGTTTGAACAGCTCTCAAACCCCCTCCCTCTCTCCGTCGTGAGGGTATCCCTAAAACTCATTTCTTTTCCTCCCGAATTGCTGCCGCGGCGCACAGGGATTGCCTAAACTCCTCCCCAGATACCAGATACTGAAAGAACAATTTGGGTCCGTAGAAGAAACGTAAAAGTAAAAGATCGATAGAGAACGAAAGTAAAATCAAACAATGGTCCTCGATAATCTAGAATAGCAAGGTTCTTTGGCGAATTCCCACTTCCGCAGTCACCAGTTCATTCGTGTTCACACTCTGAGTTTTTGTTCGTTCACTCGCAGGGAAATCTCGTGTCAGTATTTTTTTTCTTTCTGTTGTTCTCCACTGTTATTCTCAAGAAAGAAAGAAAAGAAAAGGGAGAGAAGGTCCTCCTTAAGCACGGGAAAGAAATTTCCTCCCTCTACCTCCAAACAAACCCTTCTAAGAAAAATCAACCTATAAAAAGCCCTGAAACTTTCCACCACGGTACAGATTAGGTTGCCCATATCAGACAACCCATGAATCTAACTTTCTCCCCAACAATACCCATAAGCCTTAAGATAAAGAAACTCACTTGAAGGGATTTTCCTTCCCGACTATCAAAAAGAAAAGAAAAGAAAAAAAGAGAAACCCCAGGTTAAGCACGCCACTCGCTTTGGTAACCTATTATACCAAAAAAGTCCCACAACCAAACAAGGCCCCACCCTTAGGGAAACATTAGCAAGACGGTGGGCGATCCCACACACCCACCAAAACAAAAAATAATAATCAACAACCCTCCAGAGGAATGTTTTAAGTATTCATACAAATCATAAAAGGATAACCGCAAAGGCCAGGGTGGGACTGTTGCCAACGCATCAAGAGGTATTTTTCAAATTGCGCAATCCACGACTAAAGCTCACCACTGTCCCGGCTTCATAGAATCTCGTATAACAGGATTCGCGTACAAGTAAAAAGGTCACTTGTGACTTTCCCACATCCGCAAAAAAGCTACAAAAACGAAGAAAAGAGGGATAAGGAGAGAGGAAACAGGACCGACGCTCTCTAGGCATTGCTATTATTTGTGTTTTAGTATTATATTAACTGGACAGTATTCGCCCGAGTGGTGATATTGCAAGCGCGCCTGGGCGAACAAAGTAGCATCGGAATTGCTTCTGCCTTCCGTAGAAATTCCTGGCCCATCGAGTACGGCTCTGTAGCGATAACATTACCTCGTCAACTGTCGCCCGACCGCTGCTTGAAGTGGAGGGTAGAATTACCCGAGTGATGTCCTGTGACAATGAGGCACGAATCGAGCTCACCGATCTACTCGTACAACGGAGAAACGAATTTGTGCCAATTTCTCATTTTCCATAGTATCATCACTGACCCCTTCGACGGAAGGAAGCAGGGAGAATGGCATCCCGAACCCGAGTGAGCTCTTGAACCCGTAATGCCATCGAAATACTATTATCACCCCTTCATTATATAATACAAACGGGGTACGGGAAAAACCGGCTTGCCGGTGAGACCCGGGTGGCACCGCCCCCGGGATCCAAAGACGCAAACGGCTGCCTTTCCTGTGGCTTGGTGGGATAAACAGCAACAATATTAGCAAGCAGGCGGTTAACCGGACATGTTCCCGGAGTTAGTAATATACTTGTTCCTGATAAGATCGACTACTCGAGTAGGTCAAGCCTGCTTGTGGAAGTTGAGTGCGGCACATTCCGCTGTCACGCGTGTTGTGGCATGTTATGGTGTGATCCAGCGAAAGGCTATCCAGCATCTGATTGAGTTGAAGATACAATCAATACGGGTGAATAAGAAATTCCTGTTAGATGCTTTACATTAAATTTAGAAGATCCCGATAATGACCCGATCCTGATACGATGACAGACGTTGAAGAAAGGCTCTCTAGATAGACACCGCAATTTGCGAAAATCTCCAAACCCAGCAGGTCTTGAGAAAAAGGTTCTCTCTCGTACCAAATACTCTCAAATTATCCAGTGACGCTAACCTCTTGTGTTTTCTCGGAAAAGTGAGACCTGCAGCAGAGCAACCTTGACAGTCCAGTGGTTGTCAAAGTGGAGGCCTCGTTTCCTTTTTGATATGTTTCGAGATATATAGGGAACCTATCTTTTTTATTTCTTTCAAGATCTCCCCCATTGTAAAACTTTTGCAATATTCCCACGGTATTACCGGCGTTCGACCACCGTAGCTGAGTGAAAGGGCTTCCACACCTGACGGGCTACTACTGCCGCTTTCATCCCGAATAACCGCCCATTTACAACTCTTAAATTCCAGCTCGACACACCACAAGATATCGTATCATACTTCCAAAAAAGCAACAGATTAATGAGCCCAAGTCTCGCACCAGCTGTGCGAACAGAATCCACACAGCCGTGGTGCCAACGTGGTCTCATTTTTCAGCCAGCAGCCGCTCGGCCGGGAATCTCGAGACTCCCTCTGCCCGTGGGTTGTCACGCTGTGGAAATAGGGCCAAAAGCTTGCCCGGACTGGTGGTGGCGGATGCGAAAGAGACTTCGCTCCCAGATCAATGAGAACACCTGCTGGAAGAAATTAGTACCGGCTGATCCCGGATGCTGAACCATATCCCCCGGCTGATTTAGCTGGAGTACTTGCAGTGTTGTGGCCTTTAATGTGAGACATGGGACGAAAGCTTGTTGAGAACTACCGGTGAAAATGGTACGAGTACCTGCGCCTAGGCTATACAAGCAAGAACTTGCGTGATGGAGACAATGTAAGGGGGTTGAAGAGAGGACTATATGTTATCATAACCTACTACGCTATAATGATAATGCCATAGGGTGATATACTGTATTCCATAACTGTGGTCTTCGATTGGAGCGATCTCTTCTCCACCCTTGCTGTTTTGGTACCCTATCATACGAGGGAACTTGGAAGACTTGGCAGTAGAATTGCTGTGTAGGGGTTCCGCGAGAAAGAGGATTCAGGGCTCTCTATGGGTAAGCATAATAACTCTGGAGATTCTAGGTCGGGGTACCAGATTGTGGTTGGCGAATGTGAGAGCCGGAGGAAGACACTGGAGGATCCTATTGGTAGAAGAAGGGCTTCTCAAAAGCATTTGAAACCCTTGATCCTGTAAACCGCTTGAAAGGTTCTCCGCCTCCTGAATACTGTGATACACCCTCCTTGCCGAACGCTGCATCTGATGCCCATATCTTCTGCATCATTATTTCTTCGGAGTCGAGACAAACCGAAATGACTCGAAAACAGAATCGACAATAAGGTCGAACCTACGTGCAAGATTTTTTGAGCTAACCCCATGTCTAGGAAACACTCCTAGTGGTAATCACTAAGATGGGATAACCTTTGGAACTGCAGGATTCGAGCTTCCCCAGACACTTCAGTGTGCTGGAAATATCTAGCGGTGCGTGGCATACTCTAGTAAGAGTTCAGAGCAACCGTGAATGCCCCGTGGTCTAGGAAAAGGTTTCCTGTGGGCAAATTCTCTAACTACGATCCCATGATTTAAGTGAAAATGTTTTCATTATAAGTGTTAGTGGAACAAAGGAACGGCCTTCATGGGAGGATTTCGGACTCACAGTGCTGTCTCCATACGCCACGGACTTCATTCGTGTTTGCTTTCGGGGACACACTGAAGTTGTTCTCGCCATTGCTCAAGTTTCCTTTCTTCTTCGTCCATACTTCCACTGCTGCTACCACACCAACAATATTTACTCCTTTTTATCTCCCTCCGCACACTCGAGAACTATCTACATCATCACCATTCAGAACCGCATTCATTTCGTGCAAAACCTTGGGCCGTGGGCTACCCGCGTTTCAAGCTCGTGGCATACCGAAATCGGAAACGAACAGCCAATATAAACAAACCCTTCTACGAGGAGCACAGGTTTTAGCACAGGGCGAGGACACGACTTGCTTTCTTCATTGGCTTAAAGGAAAATAAGTAAGGAAAGTTAGTGTCTCTCCATGATCTGATACCTCTGATTATACTAAACGCTATAACCAATCACAGGTCTCGACATCAAGTCTGTTGGTGCTAATGTTAAAATAGACTTCTGTTCCCGGAAATTCTCCACAAAGTTCAAACTCTCGAAGCTTGAAACAACCTCCCTAGGCTACCTTCATACCTCTGTGCCCTGCGATGATCCGTGGTAGCTCACCTTTCGCTACCAAACCTCCGACCATTAGCCGGGAGTCTTGCAACTCTAAAGTAGTTGGGGTTCAGCACTCGCAGTCGTCCCTAATCCGAATGGTCAATGACAAGTCTGCCACCATAAACTCCATTCCTAACTTTAAATCCTCAACACTCATTATCACCAACTAACAAAAGCACCACGCGTATAATATCATCGCAACGACAACCACCCAGACCATAGTCTAGTTAATCTAGCTAACCAGAGAGACCCCCACTCAAAGTCCTCTTTTAAGGAACCCCAATGGGATCCTCGGCACCCCTCGTTTGACCAAGATGACCTCTGCCAATCCCAGAGTCTATCCACCATAGCCACAATATGGACGATCGGAGTCGTCAAGGTATGCCGGTATCTCCCACAACCCGTGGAATTGACTAAAATTACGAGACAAAACGGTATGATAACAAAACCCCTATCAGGGTCAACCTATGCCAATGGGGATGGCTAAATCACGACACGGAGCTCCAATCTGGGAGGTATGTTATCGATACCAAATACCAGATAGTTTGACGCCAGCGCGAGAGGAACTCCAGACGCAAAGAGAATGAAAAATCCAAGACAAGCAAGGTGCAATCGGAGAAAAATCGTCAAACCGAAACACCAACCTACAAGTGGCAAACTCTCCAGTGCCGAGAAAACTTCTCCACAACCTTAGTTATAACTCCTCAATCGGTACTCTCTGGGCCTGGGGGTTATAACATCTATCATGCATACCGGTATTGGTATCAAATGATACCAGACCATTCGAGTACTGTCCCAAAGCAGAACCTAATACGGGAGTGCCTAGAAACTATGAGGGCCGGTACTTGCGCTATTGTACTCGTACAATCCAGTGAGAAAACATTATGTTCAGGGATCGATTTTTTTTACAACGCGTTATTGACTTTTTTCCTTTCCCTTGCTAGGGACACAACCCAATCAGGTGGTAATGTTCCTCATTCCTCCCATCACACTCTGCCGTTCAAACCAAGGGGCTGTTTGACATGACACAATTTGAGGCGGTGGTCATCCTAAATTTCAACTTGTCAATTACGATCGGGAACTGACCAACAAGATATCCCGAAACCAGCTTACAAAACTGAGTTGCATATTGTGATTGGCCGATTCCAAATGGCAACCGCAACCTTTTAATGACCCGTCGTCTCGAATCATAATGTGCCAAACAGCCCTGAAGTTTCCCATAACCAACCTCCGTGTCTCTCAACCAACGCCCGACGAATTCAACACTTCTAAAAGGCCATTAGCCCATGATAACCGGGCGCAGACTTACACTCAATCCTGCGTGTGGGTGCCTCGTGGTTCAAGTTTTGTCTCTCGAAAAGGACGGGTTACGGTATCTAGTTGGGCATGGATGTTGTAGGAATCTGCAACACGCAAATTATTTTCGGGTGGGGATGTCTGGCGGAGGGACAAGGTAGGTTTTGGACAGGTCCAAGGCCGCCGCCGCAGGGGGGGATTAACGTGGGGGTATAAGGGTCCTGGGTTGGGAATTTGGGAGGGAAAGGACTCAGATGACCGAAGTCAGGGCTATGCTGCCCGAGTGTTATGTCAAAATAAGGTTGGATACTAATATTAAAATCCCATGCGTGCCAGAGCATTATCTAGCCGTTCCCGTGACACAGTGCATGGACGGTGTGGTGCAGTTCCCAACTTATCGCGTATCTTTCAAAAAGCTTATAATCTCGCCCCGACCCTGCGCTTTAGCCACACATTCAACGTGAAGAGCGCCAGTAATCACAGCCCTCCGGATATGCCGATCCTTCCGCAAAATCCGTTCAAGAATGCCTTCAACCTCCACTGCCTCCGCTTCCGTAACAAGTTCATCCTTCTCAGCCCGCAACGCCACTATATCCACCCTAACGTTCTTCTCTGCAATTTCGTTAACCGCTTCACGCACATCCCAATGATTTCTCAAAAATGGCGATAGATATCTATACGGTAGCCAACGCTGTGGATACAGCGCTAAAAGCATACTGCTAATACTAATGAATGGTGTTTCCATAATCAAACCCTTAACATGTATAGGTACCCGACACTTAGGAGCTCGAAGGTAATTGGCCCATCCCTTAAGAGCTATACCGCAACCGATACTCTGGCCCCAAAGGATAAACTCTGTACCAGGGGTGCTATAACTCTCAAGGTGGCGGAAAATAGCCTTCATATCCTTTTCAATACCGGATTGTGAAGGGCTGCCGGTGGATGTCCAGTAGCCTCGATACGATGGGATGATTACCGTGTGGGTTGTAGAAGAGTTTTGAGTTTTGAGTGAGGATAGGATTGCAGATATAAGCGGCAAACGAGGAGGTGTTGAAGATGCATTTCTGTAAACTCTATTAATCTTGGCCATCGCGTGAATTCTTATCTGAAAAACTTTCCCTTGAAAATAAGCAATAACCACATTCCGTCTACTTCCAGCAAAACCAGCCGGTGCGCGGGAGAAAACAGTTGCTTCTACCCAACTTAATAGCCTCCCATCCTCAGTCTTGATGTCCCGGAACCTTCCGTGCCAGTCGATCCCCATACATGACTCTTGGTAAGCCTCAATCTTCTCTCTCTTAGCTCCAATTGGGATACCTGTAAGTCTTTAGCTTAAACCCTAACCTTAAATTAAATTATTATTTTTTATATAAACGAAGATTCACAACATATCGCGGGCTTCTCCGAAGAGCGCAGACGAGTAGAGGCAATTCGGTTGGTGAAGGAGGATAAGTACCGGGCATGTAAATGATCTTGTTCTGGAATATAACCATCATGGCACACTACGGTAGTCTTGGAATTAGCAGTCGAAAAATTTATATCGAAGGGAAAGGATAAGAAACCTTATAAACCCAGAGGGTTGTGATTAATCCAACAAAAACTACCGGTGGGGCAAGTGCCGGATGAAGATACGACAAGAAGGTGCGGGAATATGACTTTGTGCTGAAAGACTTGCTAACAGTGTTAGAGTAGCGTAAAGGGCAACGGAGCATAATGATAATTATTATCTCTACCCCACGAATTATCTTGGGAATGCTCCTAAGAAGGAATTAGTGTGGAGGTTGAAGACTTTGCTGATGGAGGGTGCGAGTTCCGTATCTTCTCAGAGTCGCAGAAGAGTAGTCTAGTCTAACTAACGAGGCGGTAGCGGGGTGTCGCACGGAATTTACCGTCACGCCAAGAATACTGTACTAGTACGTACTGTACTGCACTCGAAGATGTCCCCGTCCCTTCCTCTCTATTTCGATCCTGCACGCCATCTACCATACATATAATACCACGCAACACCGACCATACCACTCACTCATCTCCCTCCTCCTTCTCTCTCCTTTCTCACACACACCCGTCATCACCATCACCACCATCGTCATTATATTCACCCTAATCTTTCTTGGCTAATTAATCCTCAACGCGTATTTCCCCCTACAAGTACAGTACAGTACAACATTTATCTCGCAACTATCCGAAAGCTCATTCGCTACGATACGACAGCTTTGAGATTTTTTTTCTTCCCCCATCTCAGGTTTCAAGGCACCCAACGGATAACCCCCAAGTCTATTACCGATCATGCCACCACAACCAGGGAGTGTCCGTTCCGAGTCTCCTGATGACTGCCGTTTCTTACCCTGCGACTACTCTGACGGAAAGGTCCTCTATCCGACTAATCTTGAAAAGAAGCCTCGCGCCGATGGTGCCTACGAATATTATTCCCCTGTACCCACTGGGAGCAGTAAAGATGTCATGTGGAGAACCAAATGCGGTAATCATGTTTACCAACTATTCTCCAAGCAAGAGAATCCTCAAGGTCAGTGGAAAATTTTTTGCAGCGAGCATGTTGATAAGCGAAGCTAAATCCCGCCCTACTAAAACCCTTCGCCCTTCACAGTCGCCACTTGAAGCTATCCGCTAACGATCTAGTGCGCAGAATCACTTGACTATGTTTTCGCCGAGTTTCCGCGGAATTACAAGCTCTTTGAGCATGTCAAATGTTCCGCTAAAGTTAGTTGAACCTTCAAGCTTCCTTGACTTTCCACCTACATTATATTGACTTGTTTTATAGGATGGTGTTCTTGGGAAAGAAAGATCAGACACCTATCTATACGGACATCCATCGGGAAAGCGCTATCGATCACCAGCCGAGTTCTTCCCCCACATTGCGTACCTTTGCCGTTTCAGTGCAACTAAGAACCCCGACACCAAGGGGAAATTCTGCCAATGCTGCCTGTGTAGTACTGTGGGTCCGAAGACCGGGCCAGCTACCTCAACTTTCAAGGGATCCGTTCAATTTTACCAGAAGGAAGTTAGGAGGGTAAAGACAGTTGTATGCCAGGAGGAAAAGATTGCGGAGCAGGATTGCGGAGGATGGGTCATACGCAAAGGAGAGATTGGATGGGTTTGGCTTCCTGTCAATGAAGAGAGAAGCTATGAGGGGATAGATGAGAAAAATCTAGTCGACGGTCAGGGTGGCGTTTGGGCTGCAGGGATAATTGTCGAACGCCCTGGATACACACCTTTCCTCATGCCTCCTAACATAATTACTGGAACCAGGGAACAAGAAACAGACCAAGATCCAATGAGAACATTTGTTAACGTGGAAAAAGACATTGTTCCGCCATGGGCTACCGACAAAGATTCGTACACTATCCAGCTCTGCGCTGGGAAGGGGAAGAATGGAGAGGTTATCAGCGACGTCAAACAGTGGTTTGTCAGGCCATGGTTGTCACGCCCTGAGTGCGCTATCAATTACGAGGCGAATGAATCCGAACACCCCTCAGTTGTGTCTGGTCGGGAAGTCGCAGGTACATTCTCGGTATTCGATAAGATCCCTGATAGCATACATTCTGTTATCGAAAAAGGGGAGACAGAGAAGGTCAGGGTGGCGTCGTATAATGGCATTTACCTAGGTGCGGAAAAAATATGGGTTGATGAACCAATACGTATTAAGTGCTTTACCGAAGGGAGCATAGTTGATGGGGCAGAAGATATGATGGTTGTCAAGTCGATTCAGACCTACACTTCACCCTCCAAAATCAGCCCCGGTAAATCAACAACCAGAATCGTCTTTGGAGGTCCGATTTTTACTGCCTTTCCTCGGAAAGGTACAGAGCCGGTTCAAGACGAAGCAAGTCTCCAGCTTCCTCCCCGCATGCGTCGCTCATGCGGTGGCGACTGGACTATTAAGTGGTACATTCCGGATGGATCGAACGAAAGGTCCAAAGTTAATTCTCAAAACCCTTTCTCGGGAGGTACTACGACCCCCCGGCGATTCCGGGAAGGGACTGGACGTCCCGACCTCCTTTATGGAGGGGACCCGAATTTTGAAAATTTTTCCCGGTGAATATAAGAGGATGGGCCAATTCGAGACTCGAGGCTTTGGCGACTGTACTCATCTTGAATGGGCTTGGCCCTCAGCGGTGATGACCATTGAAGATAAAATAGAATCAAAAGTGGGGCCGGCTATGCTCTATCAACAGGAGGAGGAGGATACGCTCAACCCGCTCAACCCACCTACCGATGCCTGGGAGAATTTTGAGGAGAACAATCAAAAGGAAGCAGATCGGGAGGGTGTGCTTATGAGCGATATGGAGGATATAATGGAGGTTGACCCCCCTAGAGGCTTTGTGAGTGTCAATGTAAGGACTATTCCCCATAGCATTGGTCAGAAACGCGAAGGAGGTGCCTAGGTACCTCTTTTTTTATCCACCATTATCTCGATGGAGATTGAGGGGGTAACGTTTGCGCAGGGTTTGATCTGCAGTGGGTATTTTATGGATTGCTTTTTTCTTTTCCTTCTTTGTGCCTATTCTAGCTTTATCAGAAGGGTGTCTACAATGATTTTTCTTCATTCCTCATCTGTATGATACCAAGTTTCAATTCTAAAAAGTTACCATCGGTAGTTATCGGTGTTGCGCTAGGATGACATGTGGCGTTGTGCGAGATACTGAGAGGCCCGAAAGTTCTTATAACATTCGAGCCAAGTTGAAAGAGAGGCATTCTGAAAAAAATTACAGATGCCTCTTACTCAATGTCGCGACGAAAACCTTGGCCAGTTCGAAGGGGGACTTGGCAAACGGCCTCCAAAGGGGTGTTTGCCGGGGCTGATTCTGGGTGAATTTCTTAGTCCACGACACTACTTGGTTATGCGGGCAAAATAATATTAAAAAGGAAGAGGAGCTTTCTTTTCTGCACACTCGGAGTCCTTCGAAGGTGATGGCGTGGAAGAAGGTATGGGGTAGAAGTGCTGGAGGCGACGGAGGGGCATTCTCAATAATGTCTTTCTTTGCTTTTCCCATAGTGTAGTATTATCAATTCAGTTAGCATTGCATGTTTTTGTAGATTTTCTTAACACCTTCAGGACTTCGAAAGGGGTTCATAAACACGAGCTCCAAGGCCTTCCTTTATTTTATCACTAACCCACCCCCTTCATTGCCAACACTACTCATAAGTAGCTTGTACACGTGTATGATGCGACCAACAAATGCAGGTAGCAGGGTCCAAGGCCGTCAACCGTGGTAGAATATAGTAAATATTTAGCAGGGTATCGTTACTACCCTAGAGCTCTCAGGTGTTTGGCTTATGGCGCCCGGATAGGGTATATTACGATACAAGTATGAACTACGGTACGGTAGTAGAATAAGGTAGCGCTGCCTAATAGAACCGGGTTATATATATATTCTACGCACTCAGGTACCAGTGCGATAGGCGGAAGACCATGCCCAAAACTGAGCGACACTTGTGGACAGCGCCACTGCTAAGTGTCGCTAAGACCTAAGTGGAAAAAAAGCTGAGTCTTAGAAATACGCAATGGCAGCCGTGTTCAAAAACGTTGGAGGCAGCTAAATATCGTACTAGTACATGGATCAGCGCGAGTGCTTCATAGCGTGTGAAGCGATTCACAGCGCATCACGAACATGCTGGGTATGATACGATACCAAGAAATACTCGAGTACTGTACATGCCGGCAGGGTAAGGGGGATGGGAGTGCCGATATCATAGTGAGCCAGCGAGATGAGGTTGGGGCCAGATTTGTTGGTATTTGAAGTACTAGTACAGGTACGGTAACCTTGTGCTCGGTCTTGGACGGACATGTTGTATTTCTTGATCGAGGTTGTACTGTACAGTACTTGCTTGATTGATGCTCTACTGGCAGGCTATCAGGCCTTACTAATGCTACAAGAGAGTGCACCACAACCACCCATGACATATACCTCGCACAAGAGAAAAAGAAAATCGATGACAACAATACAACATAGCAGAATGGTAAAGAGAAAGGAAACACAAGCAAGAGAATCAAACCAGTGTTACAATAGAGTTTCCAAGAAAACTCTGTAATAATCAACTAGGTAATGAGTACTATGATAGAGTTACCGATGAAACTCTATTGAACTCATACTGGTAACTTTGACAGGAATTCTGTCATCATCAAATGCGTAACTGAGACATATTTGAAAGTCATATTACAACAGGACAGACTACGGTAGTCCGAGAGAGCGTCTATGACAGTGGCTGTGTATGGTGTTGTGTGTTGGTCTTTTACGAGTATCATACCTTTTTTGTAGGGGCGAGGAGTGTTGACCAGTCTAAATTCAAGCGAGGCCGGTGGGCTAGTACCGTACGATACACTGGAACGAGTATATACACTCGATTACCGGTAATTCGTGCCATGCCAATGTGCTCAACACAGCAAGGATGGATGTTGAGTCATATTTCTGCCGGTAGAGTACGAGTACTGTACTGTACCCCACATGGAGATGATATCATAATAAATTTACCACTTTTATCATACTCGCATCGACACTTTCCAATACGGTTCCGATACGAAAGTACCGGTACTGAGGGTTCGGCTTGCGGATAGTCCCTCCGTCTCCCCTGCGCGTTTTGTCTGAGCACTACCGGTATTTTACTAGCAGCGCTGTTGCCCTTGTGCGGGGTGAAAGAGTGAATTGGGTAGCAGCGATACCAAATCCACTCCCTCACCCCTTGCTGGTAAAATATACAAAAACTTATGGGCTGTACAGTACAGCACTCGTACTCGAGTACCTCCGTACTGTAGTGCCCCATGTCGGGAACATTGATACATTAATAGGGAGGTTTGAAGTTCTCGGGAGATGGAAGGTACAGGTGTTTCTATAGAGGCGTATCTCTTGGAAAATACGGTACTATACATTGTAAACCTTTTGGCAACCAGGTACACAGCATACAAGGTCCAAAGGTACAGTACAGTACGAGGTACGGTGCTTAGTCTGTAATGCTAGACAGAAAAAGGTAAAAAGAAAAATATTTTTTATACTACTCGTACTTGTACAGTACAGTAGTGCTAGTAGTGCCGACCTTCTTATTCCTTTCCGGCCAAGATGATGGCACCTACAGTAGAATGCATGGAAACGTCAGCCGATACACCTGTCATAGTGGCAGTTTATATCATACTCGAGTACAAGTGCCATTCAAAGCGGTATCATACGCCTGTATTCGTGCAGTATGTTGTGTACAGTACTCGGTTTGAGGTGCACTGAGAACATCGAACCTCCCTATTATGGAGGCTTACCGGTATGTCATGACACAAACTCCCCACACCAATTGGTATCAGCAATGCTAGCTGCGGGAACAGTGAGATGCGACCAGCCGCATAACCTCGATCTCGAAAATCTCGAACTCTCAACTCTATCCACTCTAAGCTGTGTCTGAGCCACGGCCAAAACGAAAAGATTCTATTAGGAGATCTCGTGCTCTTGCGCAAAGTGGAGCATAAAAACACGGACATCTGTACGGTAATTGTATTGTGGGTTGGTTATACAGGTAGCGATGGTTGAATACCGTAGGTATTGCTGGACAAAGTAGTTGAACACCCCAGCCCTCTCGTCTCACAACTTGAACCAAGAGAATCTACACTTGCACATGTACAAAACACCTTCCCTTTCTGCTGTACCAGTATGTACAGCACACGTACTGCACTCGTAGAATCATAAGGCACCAGGAGGACCTTCGAGTTGTGTGCTTCGTAATGCATAATGAGGCGCCAATAGATAAACACTGCGAGTCGAAGCCATCATCATTCCACTTGTGGGGCTGAAGTGAGACCCCCGCCGATCACACTATGAGTCTATTGCTCTCGAGTACGAATACCGTGCGGCAAGTTCAGGCAAGTTTTTCTCTAACGGTTACGGTATCATAACTTGTATTATACAGTACAATCTCCGCACTCTCAGGGGTCAATCCTTGCTGGCAACAATAAAGCTAAGCACTTTACTGCATGCAGATGTGATAATGTGGGGAAGCCCTCCACCCCTCTGCTCAGCCTTGTGGAAGGCTGTTTCGGCAGCCTAACTTACAGTACAGTACCAACAACAACGCCTCTTCAGCACAGCTCGTACCGCCATTCCACGGGGCTCGCATGCCCGCCACTTGCTCCTGGCCTATTGGAGGTGTATAAGAAGATGGTTCTCCCACCTCTACCGAACGTATTTCAATCCCAACACTTGCTCAAAGAGTTGATACACAAAAGCGAAAATGACCGAAAATACCATTCATAAGCAATCATTCTCCGTCGATGACCTCACTGTTCGAAGCGTGACTATTTACCCTTCTCGCGCAGCCATTGTTAGGGATATTAATGATGTTACAATTAAGGTTTGCCACCATCCTCTTTGTCCTTTGCTGCTATTAATTTGATTTTCGCAGCCGGGGAGAAATGAGATCACCATTTACAACCTCACCCCGCATGCCGAAGCCGACTCGATCAAAGTCGAAGGACACAATACCCCGGCACTCATCACGGACATGGCGGTGGACTTGATCCCTAACGCGAAATATGACGAGCATCAATTTGACGATCATTCCGACAGCGACACATCATCGGAAGAGGAAGAGACGTCTCCGGAATTGCAAGCTTTGGAAGCTCAATTAAGAGAGTCGACCCAGCAATTAGCACGTTATCAAGAGACCGAAGCATCGTGCGTTCAGCAGCAAAAGTACATGGACACCTTCATAAAAACCTGGGCTGAGAAGACCACCGTCGCCCCGTCGGAGACTATACGTAAAGAATTGAAAAATTATGCATCTACCCGCCAGGAAACCTACGATAAGATAGTGAACGCCAAAGGTTGTATAGCGGACGTAGAAACCGAGCTGGGAAGGCTCAGAAAGGCACACGAAAAGGTGAAAGCCCGATGGGAGAAGGCGCTTCGAAAGAAGAACGCCATGAAAACGGAGCGTCGACGACAAAAAGAATTCGCGAGGAAAGAGCGCAAAGAGCAGAAGCTGTATACCCCAGAGAAAGTTTACCGCGTCAAGATCACGGTGGAATTGGACAGCTTACCGAAAGAAACCAAGTCCGTTCCCACCACAATTGACACCGGAAGGCCCGCACGCGCGGAGGACGACAAGCCACCGGCCAACGACGGTGGGCCAAGTTTGCGTATTTCATACATCACTGGAGGAGCGTCTTGGGTTCCCCGGTATGATATCCGCCTGGATACGACATCGAACGCAGGATCCATTTCCTACAGGGCCCATTTCTACAACAAAACCGGCGAGACCTGGCGGGATGCTAAAATAACGCTGTCCACCTCACAAACCTCCTTCAACGGGATCGAAGATAAAGCGCCGTGGATGGATGCCTGGCACGTATCGCTCAAGCGGCGGGGATATTACGGCAGCGAGAAAGACGGTGGACTATATGCCGTCCCCGAACAAGAGAAGCGCGAGGAGAAGAAGGCGACGGCGAGGCGCGCAAAAGGCGATCTCGATCTCGTAGTCGAATGCGGGAGTCTAAGCATGCAGGGGCAAGAGTACTACGGCCACGGCCGCGTTCCCCCTAATATGGAAAGAGTCTATCCTAGCGCCGCGGTAGTAAAGTCTGCTATTAGTGGATCCCAGAACCGTTCCGCGAGAAGAGGCATCTCCTTCGGCGGTGGTGCTATGCTCAGTCGTAGTCGGAGCCTGAGCAAATCCCCCGCCGTCTTGGAGAACCCGTACTCCAGCGACTCCAGCGATCCCGGCGACGACGGCGATGACGACGACGCATCCACAGTGCTGGACGCCCCATCGAACAAGATGGGCATCGCAACGAGCACGTCGGAAACCCACGGACTAACAACGACCTATGACCTCCCGGGAATCCGAACTGTCGTTTCGTCGAAGCAGCTGTCCCGCTACATTATCTCCGAATTCGCCCTTCCATCGGTGGAATTCTCCCACCTAGCCGTACCCAAATACCGTACCGCCGTATTCCTCAAAGCCCGCCTTCGCAATCCCTCCCCCACCACCCTCCTGCGCGGTCCTGCTGGTCTAACAATTGACGGGACATTCCTGGGCAACTCAACCGTAACCCGCTGTGCTCCAAATGACACGTTTGAAATCGGCCTCGGCGTAGATGAGGAAGTGACTATCACATACGCCAAACCCGTCCGTCGCATAGCCTCCGAGGGAATGCTCGTGAAAGAGCAAGTGCTAACCTATGAGCGAAACATAAGTATCTACAATACTAGGTCCACACCCATCACGCTAATCCTCTTCGACCAAGTCCCCGTGAGTGAAGAGGAGAGACTGAAAATTGCAGTTAAACGACCGGCAGTCAAGAATGTTGGAGATACGCTCAAGGGCGCTGCGACGAATGTCAGGTTCTTCTCGGGCTTTGAGATGGGTGGGAAGAAGCCGACAAGTGTGCCTGCCGGATCTGGGGTTAAAGTAGAGCTGAGGAAGAATGGGGAGGTTAGGTGGGAAATTGGGCTAGAGAAGGGTGCCAAGGCCAGGGTTGGGTTGGAGTATGAGGCGAGGATGCCGACAGGGGAAGTTATCCATGCGAAGAAGGGTGGAGATTAAGCAGGTTCTTTCTTCTTTTGTTGGCGGGAGGGTTTATTGAGCAGAATAGAGGAGTGGGCTAGCTTGTTTGTTTCTCCTTGTCTTTCATTGTCATATTCTGTCTCAGGGGGTATATCATAGGATATCGAGAGTAAATTGAAATACCTGTTATTTGCATTACACAATAAATATTCTCGCTATAATGCAACAGTATGTGACATCTCGTAGCAGAAGCAACGGAGTGGTCACCCAAACAGTACTCGTAGACTACCAGTATTCAGTAGAGACTTATTCGGCACGGATGGAGTACAGTACCGGTAGTGAGTGAGCGACGAGATAGGAAGGAAATATATACTAGCTTTTTATGAACACTACAAGTGCGATATTCTCGCCACCGTATTAGAACCGCGTTTTGTTTCGCGCTTGCGCACCAAAACAGGCGCGACACCCATCCGGCAACACAAGCATAGCAGAACATCTCCAATCTCGCCATCAGCACAAACACTCTCCCGAACAACCCCCCATCAACGAAGGACTAAACGGGGGGTGATTCAAGGGGTTAAAAAAATCAAAGGAGACAAGAAGACGATAGGATTCCTGACCCTGTACACCCAATTGGAAATAATGTAGATACGGTATTTGAGACTATAAAGAAATCTGTGGTCATCGATATCTAAATGTATTCCGTTCTCTCGAAGTGGTTTCCCGCGATATGATACTTCATTGGCCTCCCGGATGACTAGTTCTATGCGCAGCAAACGGACAACACATGGGAAATACCAACCCCTGCATAAGTAGAGTCGGGGCTCGGCACGTGTCTAGAGTTGATGGTTTCGGGCAGCTTCCAGCTTACGCGTGAGGGGCGATCCTATCCTATCATACCTGAGTTTTCAATGTCATGATGAATCACTCGAAACCATGTGGTATTCATTACTTTGGCGTTCTCTCTAATATATGATAGTCGCAAAATGTCAGACATGGCTCTCAGACTCTATTCCCTAAGTGTCGCTACCGGTATTCCTGGTCGGATAATTTATAGGTGGCAATACTGAAAAGTATCAAGAGCATAGACTGAAATCGACGGACATCAGGATGAGGTTTTTCCGTTTTAGTAATGAGAATGAGTTCGAGAGATAAGGAGAGAGGAAGGGGGAGAGAGCGACTCTCGGGACTGGGCTTGTATCATACACTGAAGTGTGATGCTAGCTGTCATGGGTAGTCACTCGATATGGCAGGTTTTGTGAGAGCAGGTAATGAAAAAAGGGAATAGGGTGTGCTGTGTTATATCAACATTAGGCTCCCTTTATCATACTCAATCTCAAATCTGTTTCCACGATAGGTATTTGTGATAGCCTGCCCACATACCCCACACCCCACCTGCTGTTGGGGGTACTTGCATCGTGGACTTCGATGTATGAGTACCGTATGGTGCGGTACAGACAAAAGCACCTCAACGCCTCTCCGAGTGTGGCTGGTGTTTCAAAACACTCAGCCAATGCCAAGCCATACCCTTCCCACCCCATCACTAGAAACAAAAACAAAAAGCCGAATCGGGTCACTACTGCAATATAACCTTTTCAAATCACGGAGAAATTTCTGGCCGGCGTGCCCCTCCGAAACCACTCGTGGCCGAATCTCCCATTCCTTCGCCCCGCCCTTCTCTCTTCGCTGTGTTCCGCGAGTTTGTTCGGCTCTGGACTCGAACAAACATCGCCATGCCAATCATTATTCCCCGCACATTAATCCTGAGAGCAAGAACTCTTTCTCGGTTATCAGCTGCCAGGAGGCAATCAACCAAAACAACAGACACCGATAAGCTCAAGAAGAGCTTTCGAGGGCAATTGTACGACTCTACGGCTCAACGAATACAGAATGAGAGAGCAGCATTGATGAGTGCGAAACTCCGAAGCAGGTCTGCTGAGGGACAAGCGGGCTCCGGGAAAGTTAGTGGTACTCTTGCTGGAATCTTTGGTGAGTTTGCTCCCGACAATTTATCACCTCCACCCGGATCCGGCTGTTCGGGTTTCTTCGATAGATCATCCCCTGGTTTTGGAGAACACCTTGCTGACTCACTTTCAAGCTGCTGGAGCTGTTGCAATCGTTTTCTATTACCTGGGTTCGCTCTCCGTTCCTGCACCTCCGACAAACTCTACATCACCACTAAAGAATTTTCCCACCCCGAAACATGACGTTTCTAAGTCGAACCTTGAAGCCTCGTGGACTGAGTTCGTTGCTCTTCTCGGTGCAGAGCATGTATCGACGGCTGGGGAAGACTTGGCCCGCCATTCGACCTCCGAGTGGTCTTCACATCACGGAGGCACGAAAACCCCATTTCTCGTCGTTTACCCATCGACGACTGAAGAGGTTTCTGGCATTGCCAAAATATGCCACCAACGCCGAATCCCTATGACTCCCTTCTCAGGCGGGACCTCACTTGAGGGTCATTTTGCTCCTACTCGTGGCGGTGTCTGCGTGGATTTCTCGCGGATGGATAAAATCCTTCGGTTACATAAGGAGGACTTGGATGTGGTCGTACAGCCAGCAGTAGGCTGGGAAGATCTCAATGACGTTCTTGCTGAAGATGGCCTTTTTTTCCCCCCAGATCCTGGTCCAGGGGCCCAAATCGGTGGTATGGTTGGGACTGGTTGTAGCGGGACCAACGCTGCTAGGTATGGTACAATGCGGGAATGGGTATTATCTCTCACAGTGGTTCTCGCTGATGGAACCGTCATAAAAACTCGGCAGAGACCCCGCAAGTCGAGCGCTGGTTATGATTTGACAAGAATGTTTATTGGAAGTGAGGGGACACTAGGATTTGTTACTGAGGCTACTTTAAAGCTTACAGTAAAACCTGCAAGCGAGAGTGTTGCCGTTTCGAGCTTCCCTACTGTCAAGGATGCAGCGGAGACTGTGGCGGAGGTAATGGCTAAGGGTATACCCATTGCTGCGATTGAAATCTTGGACGATGTTCAGATGAGATGTATCAACCAGAGTGGAAGCACAAGCAGGAGTTGGAAAGAGGAACCAACATTGTTTTTTAAATTTGCTGGTAATTCTCCTGTCCGGAGCTCCTTTTCATGCGCCAAATAAAAATAACTAAGTGTGATTTCTCGTTCGGTGAAGGAACACAGTCAGGGGTCAAAGAGCAAATCGCTTTGGTGAAGCAAATTGGAAGATCCCATCGTTCTCAATCATTTGAGTTCGCCCGCAGTAATGATGAGGCCCATGAACTTTGGTCTGCAAGGAAGGAAGCACTTTGGAGTGTCATGGCTCTTCGTCGCGACGAGAATGATCAGTATGGAGACCGCACTTGTCTTGAGGTTCAATCCATCTTTGCTAACCCCCCTACAGCGTTTGGACGACCGATGTCGCGGTACCTCTCTCTCGACTAGCAGAAATAATAGAAGCCACAAAATCCGATCTCAAGGCATCCGGTTTATTAGGCAGCATGGTCGGTCATGTCGGCGACGGGAATTTTCATTGCATTTTATTATTTAACAAGCGTGAACAGGGGGTGGCAGATGGAGTTGTGCATAGGATGATTGAGCGTGCAGTGAAGATGGAGGGGACAGTTACTGGAGAACACGGGGTTGGTCTGATCAAGAGGGACTACTTGGAAGGGGAATTAGGGATGGACACGGTTGACGCGATGAGGCGAGTAAGTTTTCACCACCTGCCACTAATTGGAGAAGTGTCTTTTGCTAATAATACGTGGTCCAATAGTTGAAACTTGCCTTTGACCCTCTCTGCTTACTTAATTGTGATAAAGTGGTTCGTGTGGAACCTAAGGACGGGAAGCGGAAATGAATAAAAAGGAAGCAATATGCCAGCACGGTAAACTAGAGCAGAAATTCTTATGCATTGCATACATGTTGCAGCCATGATACATTCATACTATTTATGTAATCCTGAATCATTGCTCTGCTCTGAAACATTGATGACCTGTCAGCATCCGGTGCAGATGTTTCATTGATAAGACAAGCTATCGCATCGCTTATTTCTCAGTCTGGTGGATCCGTGCCCACCATCCGCCGTTTATGGAAATATTGAACGACACTTCATGGCTGGTGAATCTCGGAATGATGTTGGTGTGGTGCGATTGATTTGGGGGAAGTAATAGCTAAAAGGGAGAGGGAGGGGAGGGGAGGAGTGCAAATGGTCAATACCGGTATCATAAATTTACCTTCGCTGTTCCGTGGGGTCTGTGATTACGATACTTTTTTGCTTTTTGGCAAGGCAAGAAAATTTTTTGGTATCGGGTTCTGGAAGATTCTACTAGGTGGTGGGGGGTGGGGAAGTTCGATTCTACTTACGAAACTTACCAACCAGCGTCTTTTCAGGTGCGCCTGGGAGGTTGTGTGAGCTATAAGAACTGAAACCACCGCTCCCCGAGGTTCATAGTTACCACGCTCTCGTACTATAAATCCAACGGCTCAGCGGAACGTAGAACACTTTCCTGGGTGAAATTTATAACACATTTTCGCCATCGATTCTCTTTATCGTCGTTGGAGTGCACTTCTTACCCGCTGAAGCTACAAAAACAGCCACATTCACACGAACATACTTTGTTCCACACCAAGTCTCTAGTTTGTGGGAGAGTATCTAGAGAATCCTGCATTCCAATGCTTTATTGAAACGACGCATTCTATATGTGCGTACACTTACAAATATCGGTTTACAGTACGTCGTTTTTGGTCTTGGGCGAGGTGTATTGTGTCTGTTTGGGCGCCTGGCTACCAATGTTATTTATTTGTCGATGGGGGGGGGTGCGTAATATACATTGGGGTCTTTGCGCGGCGAGAACAGTGGGAATCTATGGGATTCTTTCTCTTATGTCTCCCGTGCTAGTTCTGGTGCAGTGCCCTGTGGATTGAAAGCGAAATCGGCGTTCCATGGGACCTTGTCCGGCTATCCTTGAGCTACAGTGGGCTGTATCCACTCAGTGGTGGAGCAGGGATACACCCATTGTCTCCTATGCCTAACAGCTTCCCTATCGAGGCTGGGTTTGACAATTTACCTTCATCCCCTCCTCGGAATCATTTGTTAATGATAAAACATCGCTCATTCCATCTCGGCTCGCGCGGCAACTGTCATACGAGAATTCTTCCTGTTTCTGGACATGATTAGATCTAGTATCTCTTTTCCGCTTGATAGGGGGTTGGTGGCGATTGGGAACCGCTTTTTGCTCTTCAATTTCGGGAACTGTGGGGGTAGATATACCAACACTCATGCAGAAGTCATGTGTTTGTCCATCTTTCAACATTCTCAATTTTTCTCTCAATGCTGTGGTATGGGTTCAGATCGGTCCTCTAACTAAACACAGTTGGATGTGGAGTGGGAGGTGAGAGGAGGGGGTCTTTGAGAAGTTCCGCTACCAGTGGTAATGTAAACTTACGCATTAGACCACCACAGCGGGGAGTGCACCCGCAATACCGGTAGTTAGTATCATACCGGGATTGCATTTTTTTGCAGCGAGGTTAAGCCTGGGCTTGATCATTTGCACAAGGGCACTAAGTACTCAAGTCCGGCGCTGCTGAGACCTTCTCCGGAAATATCTTGCGTATGCGCGGTGCAAGGTGAATCAGGTTACTCCGCCACTGTGGGTGGGGTGGTAATTGATAGGACACTCCGTGGCTTAGATGCTAGAGTTGTTCAAGCTTGTTTTCTCAAGCTTTTTTTCTCTGGGGCCAACCTCCTTCACGTCATGCTGCAGGAGTCTGACTCAGTTAGACCTGAGTGTCCTGTTGCCTAGAAGCACTATCCTGGCGGTGCGGCTAGGTTTTGTGGCTGGACTGATGCCGGCACTACAGTTGCTGAATGGACTCGAATCCTAGGACTCTACTATTTAATCCCTTATTGGGTAATAAGTTCTAGTGGAATATTACAGGTAGCGGGCAAGAGGTACAAGTACTCGTTTTCGGGCACAAGGATTAGAAAGATACGTGGCTAGTTATCAGGGCCCACATGAACTCTAAGTTAGTACCCAATGGTCTGATACTTCTTGTCGCTTATCATACTCAAAGAAATCATGAACCGATTGCATGATGGAATCATGCTCGAGCTCAAATCGGTTGGAGAGATGAGGATCATCTTTGGCTAACTTGTGCCCTGTGTTGCGGTGGTAGATTGGCCTTAACTTAATGGAAATTCCTGTAGGCTGGAACGTTCCCCGGAGAAACCCACTCTTTCTCCGCAATCCACTTGCAAAAGCGTTGTTACTTGTCTCCTGCATACCTATCGCGCGGCCCTTCCCGTCTCCATGGTCCTTCTGACTGACGAGGTGCTTTTCATTGGGTGCGATCGAAAATTCTTATAATGTTAAGTTGCTCACAACACTCGGAAAACTCTTGCAACAAAAGAAATCGGCCTCAGAGCTCTTTGCCCAAGGTGGGATGCCCGGGTAAGCGGTAGCGGTTATTGCCGCCCCCCAGTTCCGCTTATCATTGGCGAATGGGGAAATAAAAATTTCGTACTAAGAACTTTTCTCAAGTCACTTGCCCTTTGGTAAAGTAAATTGAGAAATTTCAGCAAGAATCGACGGCAGTTCGGGCGGGGCCAACGGGCTCCGGTTTTTTTCCCTTTCGGAAATCGGAGTATAAGCCTGGCAAGGGTCCCACCATTGCACCCGTGTTCCGGCACAGTAGTTGAGCATTGCGGTACTTCTGCGATTTCGGATCAAGAGTTGTGCGCAAGTTCCCGCCCCACTCAAGAAGAAAGGGATTATCCTGTTTGCTGAAGTGTTGGGAACCCTCAACTTTATTCTGTGTATCATACCGAATGAAATCACAAGATGCACAATAGAAGTGTGGAGTGCAGTGTCAATCCCTAATATTTTCGCATTTTCAGAGGATGAGGTAAACGGCGAGCTTAAGCCTCTCCTAACTTTGTCTGTATAAAGATTTATTGGGAAGTCTTTTACTAACACCCAATATCCCCCAGAATCTGTGGCTTTCACTTCAATGGATCTCTCTCGTCACGTAAAGGGACCGAGAGATTAAGATCCCACCCTACCAAGCTGGGCTAATAACATCCCGGATACCCAGGATACCTAGCGAACGGTATTTAGAACACAGCACTTCGAGGTGTTTAATCCCCCGAGGCACAACCTCTGGCTCTCGGCTGTTCCCGTGATTTTCATATGGTAGTACCTGCCGGGGCTGCGAAGAATCATCACATCGTGGCGCACGACGTGTTTCCCCGGTGAGGAGCTAGAAAGAAACGAGATCCCAGCCCGATTCCCCACACGGGAGCTGCTCGCTGAACCATCGTTCCCGAGGCAGTACACAAACAATGCGGGGCATCCAACAGTCTGGTCAGATCTTGTAACTGCTGCTCAAATCCGGCAGCGGGGTCAAGGATGGGGATTTTACATCAGCTCGTTTCATGCTGGGAATTAGGGCGAAATCCATGGCACAAACCGGGCAATTTCAACAGCGTTCTAAGGGAAGCTTGCGTCCTTTGTTCCAACCTCCTAAGCTGGATTGGTTCATGTCGACTGAGTCAAATTCCAGCCTCATGGACCGGGGAGCATATTGCCTTACTCCGACAGACACATTGGGGCATGACAGTGGTGAGTGGGCTTTAGCAGCATGGGAAGAAACTATATTGCATCACCGCATTTGATTGGTTGCTGCGTGAAGCTCTTTCGTTGATTCAAACAAGACGGACTACAGTACCGGTCTATGGTCTCAATGACTCGTACCCGGCAGGGCAGGATAATCTGAACCTAGAAAGGGGGGGGGGGCGGTAAGCATTCTTCGCTCGGGGTGAATTTTTTCCGAACCTGTTGAGGTTCCTGTCCTTGCTGCTTTCGGGATTCGATGAGAATCCCGCATTGGTTTATCGGATGGCTTTCAGAGGTGGAAGTTGTAGCAGTACGAGTATCGTGCACGAATCCGCAGCTCAATCGCGGGTCATCGGTGTGCACGTTTGACTTGTATTTTCTCCGCCTTGTCTTGTTTTATCCTCTTCTTGACGTGATACGCACATACGGGATGGACGTTCCGGATTGAGCGAACTACAGATCATAATATTATATCATATCTTCTATATTTTTGGTCGGCATGTATGGCATTCTGCGCTCGCTCTGTATTTCAAGTCAACATGATTCGTGGGTCGATGTTTGGACAGGAAGCTGTTTTCTTGGCGAGTAAGTTTGAACCTGTCCAATTTTAAAAGTGAACGAATTCTCATCGCAATCAAGTGCTAGTTATAGGCTTGCATTCTTCTCCTTGTGGATTACCCGAGCCACAAGCGGAGGCGGTTCTCTGGGGCTCTTGGCAACAACACTCATTTATGAATCCAGTAAGATGGGTGAGCTTGCCCTATGGTATCCGTACCATGGTGATTTGGCTAATGAGAACTTTCGAACGGTTATTGTTTGCGCTGGGGCCTTAAGGGTTTCCGGGATTGTCAACTTTGGGTGGCTTATATGTAGGGAGAAGTGTGAATACGGCTGGCGTTTCCACTCTTCTCGACTGGGAGGGACTTAGGGGGTGAGCATACGAGAGGTGATTTCAGGCTTCACTGGCCAGAATTTGGTGAGTGTAGCCGGGCGAAGGGCCCATCTTGGCTCTTTTTTTTTTTTTTTTGAAGGTGGAAAAACATCATGTAAAACCTTCTACTCCCCCTGCCGCAATGACTCCACGATTTACAATTCCGGGGGGTGATTTCGTGCAAGGCGGATATTATTTCATATATTAACCTGAATCAACTGTTGACTAACTTCCTAGTTGGCAGTTCAACTGTACCGCCGCTCTCTGTGCGGCTCAAGTGACCGTCGAACCGATCACACATAGTTAGTCTACCTCAAGCGCCGGTACTGCGCAGTATAGCAGCATGGCACTTTCGCAGGGTGCAGACATCAGAAGATACCGCTTCAGCAGGATGTGGCAATGACCTCTGCTGGGAATACTCCTACTGCTCTTTGGCGAGTGGGGGCTCCTAAACTGGCACTAATCACCCTATAAGCCACAGAAATCTTTCGCCGTAAAATTTTGAATAATTGGACAGTGTGCTGTGTAATCCGGGGTTCCTTTCCCTGGAAAGGAGGCAAGAAGCTCAACAAGAACATAGCCCCTTCCTCCTCTGAAACAGAATCTTTTTTTTTTCCTCTTGACCTTACTGGGGGGAAAGCTCGAAAACATAGTGCACCATCCAATTGTTTGTGTGTAATGCGATAATCACTCTATGGACAGAACAGAAAAGGGCCAACCCACCCACCACACCTGATCTCTACGAATGCACTTTTCTTTCCTTTTCCATAGGAAGAGGCACAATTCTCAAAAAAAAAAAAAAAAAATTCTCACGCAGCCTTGCCTGATAATAAGGTTGCTCTTCAAAATATGCACAAACCAAAAGTGTTTAGGGCACCGGCAGAGTTGCCGAATCATTTATGAATGCGTCCTCCCCGCCCACCCTCCGCACTAGCCAACTTTTCCCGAATAGTAAAAATTGCAAGTCCCACGTTCATCTCATTTACATCGCTAAAGAAATCGACCATCTAGCCTAACTTGGAAAAACGAAACCGGTCCAAGGATAACGATAAAGGACGGAAAAGAATAGGAAAATAAAGGAGATACATATAAGGAAAGGAAAGGAAAAACAGCAGCAACAGCTTCGACAGGATGGTGAAACCATGGGGGAAGCACAAAAAAATTCTTCACGAACTCTACATATCCAAAAAGAAGAAGTTGGAGCAAGTGATGGAAATCATGGAAAAGGAGCGTGGCTTTGTGGCTTGGTATGTGAGGGGGGGAAAACAATTTTCCCCGAACCGCCCCTTCCCGTCACCTAAGTGTTAATTAGTTGATTGTCAAAGCTTATGAACTTAGCCGGAGGGCGTATATGAAGACGTTCCGCAAGTGGGGATACCAAAAAAATAGGAAGTCTCGAACAGCCAGCAGAGAGAGTGGGTCGTCAAGAAAAATAAATACAAGACTACGCTCTACCGTGGAACCACCGTGCGAACCGCCCGAGGTAGCCCTGGAGGCCCGGGTGAATACGCACGAAGCAAATCCCTACAATCCTACACCCACACACAAGATTAATGGTAAACCCACTTCCCCCCTACACCACCGATAGTTGGTGCTAAGCCTGCAAGAGACGGGGTATAACTCACCGGGTCGAGGTGCTAGTTCGAGGAACCACCTCCACGGAGCCAATGGTCAGCCATCAAGCCACTGGTGGACTTGCCTCCCCCTTGGATAAATTCAAAGATTCCGATGATGTACGAAATAGATATCCTCCCCCTCCGAGATCTATCTGAACGGATATCACGACTGATGCATAGTCTGGTATGAACAGTTGAATAAATATATCAAATTGTTAGAGGGAGTTCTCCTCCTCAACGAGATTAAGAAGAAGGCCCTGCTCTCTGGGAACCCTGGTATTCGCCCCTGACCAAGTCCTCCTCAATACGAATTCCACTAAATATTTACCAGACCCCCACTCCCCTGTGATGTCAGACTACCAGCAAGTCCTAGAGAGAGTGTTGTCCGGCGACCCCCCTATTGCCTAAAATCAATCGAGCAGAAAATATGTTTAAGTTAAATATACTATGGTAACTCTTCAAATCAACATGAGGTTTTGCGCCTAGGGGGTTGAGGGGAGGATTTCTTTTATCTTTAAGGTCATGTTAAGGCAGATTAACGGGGGCGAAGTTGAGCAATTGATGAAGGATGGCTCAACAATGTCTTCTCAGTCTGTGACACCCCTTATTCCTTTCGTTTGTCGACTCTTTTGTTTGTTTTTTTGTGTGAAGTGGAAGCTAGTCTAGTTCTGGATGGATCATGGTGTGTCATTCGATCACGATTTTGGCACACGTGTTTGTTTCGCTCTTTTCCTTATTGTCGCTCAGTCGGGCCTTCGGTGGGGGTTTTTTTTTTCTTTTTTCGGAACGGTTCATACTTTTACTTTATTCTCTTCTTCTCAATTTGCTGTGGTCTCCCTGTTGGCTCGCTTATTTGTTGGTGCTCGGGTGGTCGGTCGGTCGGGCGGGTGGTTGGCTTGGTTCATGGCGGGTCATTTGGCGTATTATCCAGGAGCTAGACGGGCGGTGTTACGGATCTTTGGCTGGGTGCGGCGTTGTTGGTCGGAAGGTGTTGTGGGGTATGGGGTTAAGGGATTATACGTGGCTGGTGGTGTTATAAACGAATAGCGGGATGGGTTTGCTGTACGGAGGGGAAGTGCTGGTTGAGCGCGGGGGCGAGGGCGAAGAGGTCTAAGTTACGCTCATTGGGTAGGGCTGGGGTATTTCATTTGTTTTGGTGGGGAGGATGGTTTCTACTTTCTCAGAAACTCAGATCATTCATTTGATTCTCTACTTTGTTTTGATCTTGCTTTATCGTTCGAGCGGGATTGCCAGAGCTGGAGTGTCAGGAATCCAACAAGCACCTGTTCCTGGCAGACGAGATTTTGCAGGCCCTGTCTGTCATCCAGCAGACCGAATTACTACAATACAGCACTCTTTGATTTGAGCACTTAAATTACTGTCATGGACGGATGGTTTACCATGTTTGCACTGGTAACATCGCGGAATGCCTCCCACATCGCAATCGCTGCTGCATTCAGTGAAATACTGAAAGGCGGGATTGACTATTTTTTTTCTTCTTTCCATATCTGACAACACGATATCCCCACCCCTAATCCAACCTTCTAGGCGCTTCCATAGAAGGAAAATGAAGGAGAGAAGAAAAGAAAAAAAAAAGCCATTGTTTCTTAAAAACATAACTGAACACTTTTAGGTGGCAACAGGATCGGACGTTTTGGGATCCTGTCATTATCATATGAGTGTGGTTTCGTTGAAACCCTCACATGGGCTTTTTTGGTTGTTTCAGGGAAAACAGATTTGAAGGATGACAACCAGAGAAAATTAATCTTGAGATAAACTCTTTTTCCTTTTTCTCTATAGTAGAATTGCTTCTATTCCATAATAAAAAGTTTAAAAATAAAGTAATTTTGTGAAAAATTTATTTACTATGTAAAGTATATATCTATGGTTTAACATATGGAAAAATATATATTATTTAGGCTCCGTTTGGCATGTACCAATAAAAATATATCGCAATAAAAGTTGAAAATAGCATATATGCTAATAAAAAGATTCAATATAAAAAAAAAAATATAAGTGTTCGGCAACCATGCTATACAGCTGTGTGAAAGAAAAAAAAAGTCATCTTACAACTCAACTTAGGGCACATACCAAAAATCAAACACATAGTACAAAAAGGCTTTGCTTCTATAGTCACTAGGCAGAAGTGTTCGTGAAACCAGTCTCAGATGACTAAGCTGCCTTGCTAAAATGCCACCTTTCAACGAAGTGTAAAGTTGATCGTGACCGTTCACCCCATCGCAACCGTGACCATTCACAAATCTACACCCACCGAAGCCTCCTTTACCTAATTAATTAATTTATTAATTTCCTCTACCTTTTTTACCAATGGTTAAGTGTTCTGGAAATACGAAGTATGCTGTAAAAAAAAGACCTCCACCTAAAACCACCTGGAGAGAAATGAGCCTTGCGGAGAAGGGCATGATAATCACCTTTTTCTACTGCCTCCAGAACATTGCCTTGGTGGCTCAAATTATTAGACACTTATAGACAACAGTTAAGAGCTTTCTTGTTTGGGCATGTGAATGCCAATCTCTTAAAAATCTCCCTCGCCCCAGTTGTACTCCCATTTTGAGTGGTCAACAGTGTCGCACAATTATACAGGCAGCCAAGTCCAACCGGAAAATGACCAAATGTATCTTCAGGGATCGCTATGCACCTGGTGTTTCTCATGATAGTGGTAACTCTTTGTGCTACCCAGAGTGACTGGATATGATTGCCTACTAAATTTGCCTACATAGTGGACCGGGTACTCAGAGAAGTAAACATTAAAAAATGGATAGCCAAGTTAAGACCTAGGCTAAAGCCTGATCATGTGGCTAAGAGATTGAGATGGGCTACAGCTTATAGGGACTGGACAGCGAGGATTTTGAAAGGGTGATTTGGAGTGATGAGTGCAGTGTGGAGAAATCCAAGAATCCAAAGCAACAATGGGTATTCAGAGAACCTGCAGAGAAGTGGTTGGCTGATTGTGTACACCCAAAGGAGAAGGATAAGGGAATCTCGCTTATGGTTTGGGGGTGCTTTGAGGGTAAAAGAAAAGGTCCATTAGTTCCTATTACTCAAACTATCAATAAGACCAAGTATGTTAGAATTTTGAGAAGATATCTTTTTCCTGTTATTCATCAAATAATTTCCTTTGGTATACAACTTGAAGATGTTCTTTTTCAGTAAGATAATGCTCCTGTTCACAAAGTATATAGTGTTATGGATTGGTTGGAGAGAAACAGTATTGAGGTTGTGGACCACCCCCCTTATTCCCCTGATTTAAATCCTATTGAACATGTATGGATTGAGCTTAAAAAGTGATTGCACCAGCAGTATTCAGGGATTGCAGATACTCCAGGAGGAAAAGAGGCTGTTAGGAGAAGACTTGCACATGTATTACCATTGGTTTGGGAGACAATTCTTGAGGAGTTTTTTGAGAAGTTGTGGAAATCAATGCCTGATAGGGTGGCTGCAGTTTTAGAAGCAAGGGGAGGTTATACAAAATATTAGCTAGTTTAATTTATGGCAGGTCAATTGACCGTTGAATGTTGAGAGGTGCCAGTGGTTATTGATCATGAACTTAAACTCACGCGCGCGCACGCCCGTTAACAACCTCACTGGCACTGCCCCACTATATGGCGCAACTGCAATTAAATATTGTCTCAGATCACAAACACTTCTGCCGAGTGACTATATTTTACTCTCTTTCTAATACACTACAAGGTCATTATGACAATATAAATTTTCCTCTACACTCACCTCTTTAGTCTCTACAATTTAAACTTTCCTACTCAGACTAGGTATATCCTACACCTCTCTGAATCCTTTATCCTATATTATTTTAATACAATACTAATAGCTTTTATGTATGCAGATCAAGCCAGAATGGAGAATACCATGTGGGTTGAAAATAGCGAAAGATTTCTGGTTGAGGCACTCCTTTGGCATGTCGACAATAGTGTTAGAGAGGAGAATGGATTTAAGAAATCAGTTTAGCAAAGCATTGTTGGAGAACTGAATGAGACCTACAAGGCAATTAGTTCAAAGCCATTTACCATCCCTCAGGCCAAAAGCAAAGAAGTGATTGTAAGTTCATATTTGATCAACTCCTGATCTGGTTAAAGTCATTAGGAAAAATATATCAAAGACTGACACATTAATATCATAGTTGAAGAAAGAGTTTGAGATTGTTCATTTTATGTGTCAAAACTCTGAGTTCGGGTGGGATGATATCAAGTGTTTGACAACAGCTGCCTTGGAGGTATGAAGAACATATTTAGAAGTAAGTTCTTAGTCAAGCTTATTGACATTTATTCTTTAGAGTTTGAAAACTAATGAAAGAATAATGGTTTGCTAGAGTCATAAGGAGGCTGCTAGGTATCGGCAGAAAGGATTTCCCCTGTATGATCTCTTGGACTGTCTTTTTCTTGAAGTATGAGCTTCAGGATGGTTCACTCGTACAGCTTCTATTTAGTCACAGGTAGAAGAAGCTGAAGTAGCTCAGAATGCTCCTGTCAATTCTGCAGGCATTTTGCAATCACTGTATTTGGAAAATTTCCCAAACTAACTAAACTTAGATTCGGAAAGCAGCCTGATCGATATTGAGGATAGGATTCGTCAAGCTTCTCAAGAAAGAGTTCCAGAGAATACCCTTTCCCAAAGGCGCCACAGGTCTGTTCCAGATCCAATTGATATTCCTACCTGGTCTAGTCAAGCTGCCAGTGCAACTCCGGAGCTTCCGAATTGCAAGTATGTCAGACGTACAAAGATTGCTTAAGCATCATTGAGTACAGCTTTGAATAAGGCTACCGTGGAAGCTGTCTACCAGCTTGAGCAAGGAATACCCTCCTAACAAGAGCATACAATCAAGATTCTTGAGGATTACTATGCAGACAAGTTAAGACTGTAGTAAATGGTAAAAGCAGTTAGCCTTTTTGAGGATAGGTCTAAAGCTTGTGTGTAACCGGTGCAGGTACTCGGTTATTGGTTTTGTTTTATGTTTTATTTTAAGTATTGCTTTGATACTTGGTTTGTTTTATGTTTTGTTTTAAGTATCGCTTTGATACTTAATTAGTTTTACCAAAGTGTATCAATTGATACCTTTGATTAGTTTCATTCATGCTAGATATGAACAGATTTGTGTATTTAAAGACCGCCTGTTCTACGATAGAAAAGGCAGACTTCGACAGACAGTATTTCAATATACTTGGTTGAACGGTTACTTCTTTGTTCCTCAGTACACCTCTGAAGCCTCCTTTAGTTCTCAGCTCTCGCCTCCTCTCTGGAAGAGCGGCCACCTGCCAACTATCGTATCTATTACCGATAACATGATTAGAACCTTGCGAACACATTACATTGTGTATTTCTTGGAATGACTGCAGGGGCTGTTAGAGATATATAGATTAGAGGGCAAATAAGCTCTTGATGTAGTTAGTTACCAATTTTCTCATGTATTTTTTTTTTTACCTAGATCTACTTTAGAAACAGGATTTTTTTTCTTTCTCAATTAAGTATATAACATGTTTCCTAATGTGCCATATTTCCTCCAAGATACAATTGGTAGTCATTCTACATATCTGTTGCTATTTGATCTCTAATTTGTGACATAGCTCTATAGGCTTGTTCATCCTCAGGATCAACCCCTTCGCCACCAGAACCCATTTGGAAGATGTCATCTTCTACCTCATAATCTCCATTTAAAGACACTTTGTCTGACCCTTAGGAAATTCTTAAATAATTCTGAATTAGTACTTATATCTGATGAACATTTTTCTTTATAAAGTTTGACATGAATTTAATTGAAATCAAATCTTATTTAATTTCACTATTAATCAAATATTCTTCCTCTGGGGATTACCTGTGAATAAAATTTTAGAGGGCAGCTAAGGCAACAACAAGCTTAGCTTGACTGGTTATAGGATACTCAAGCTGTTTATACAAGACAGGAAAATG